TTTTCCGAGGCCACGGCTAAAAAATTCTGAGGTGGAGTTACTTTTTGGGAAAAAGCTCTACTTATATGAAACGATAGTACAAACCCACCCTTTGGCGTCTGTAGAAACGCATATGATGTCGATTTTCATCACTTTACAAGATTTTCCTAACAGTTCACGTTGCCTTTGTTCCAGTGCCCCCACAAACGTTACCAATTGGTTGGCCTTGTGGTCACGGTATGGTCCTTGAGCGATTTCTGGAAGCTTTTTGATTAGCACTTGTCTGGATCGCGGTTGAGCACGAATAAGCTCTAGTGGTTCTGCTTCTTCAAGCTTGGTCTCCGTCACCCTCACCTTTGGCATAGTCATGAGGTTCGTTGTCGATTTGTGGAGTGTCATGCTCGCTGTTATCGTCGTAGGTGTTCACAGAGCAGAGGCATATAGCAACTAACCTAAAACAATTAGCCACTTCCTTTTGAATTCCTCTAGTCAAGAAAGAATAGGTCAACCTGTCACCCTGATGAACAATCGTGGAATACTTCTCATTAGAGTAGCCTGATTCTGATAAGTCATGGAAGAATTCGGAAAGCTCTTCTTCGGAGGCTTCTAAATGAGTTCTAATTGGCAAACGTAGTTCGTAACTTGATGACAGNGGAAAGCTCTTCTTCGGAGGCTTCTAAATGAGTTCTAATTGGCAAACGTAGTTCGTAACTTGATGACAGCCACAGAAAAGGTCTATCAACAGTGTTAGGAATATGTTGAGAAATCCCTGTAGATGGAAGGCGGGGAGCGGGAGTAAGGGTGCCGAGATGGGGATGATTGGACATTATTTGAGGCTCTTTCGGTTAAAAGACTCGTTCGCTCGAGATAGATTTGTGCCTCAAAGAAAGAAATTGGGAAAGGGTCTCACGGGAAACTTACTCAGGGAGACTGTGATCGGCTCATTGACACGAAACTCTGTAAACATGAACTTCTCAATTTCTTCAGCATGCTGTCGGGTTGCCGTTGAAAATTGCAATTCCGTCATCTGAAATAGAGTGAGCCTGTTGAGAATTCGTATTCTTTATTGAATGGCATATTCGATGGTATGAGAGACTATGAATAAATTCAGCAAAATCAAAATTTTCAGTGAACCTGGAGGGGATCCAGTACCGGAACTGGCCTGTGATTTTTAAAAATCTAATCCTACTAAAGAGAAGCCGCTCAACAGACACGAATAGACAGAAATGAAGAATGGTGTTAGTGTCTCTGACATAAAGATTCACATAAAATTGCTTATAGCGGTCATATCAGCTAGCAAACAGCATCTGAATTGTTGCTGATTCA